CTTCGGTCGCGACATTCGCGCGCGACTCGGCGGACAATCTCGCGGCGATCTCGCGCGCGGGCGGCGCTTAATTAATTGGAACGACCGCTAATTAATACGAAACACGACTTATAAATCAGCGGCGGCCGCCGCGATTCGAGGGCGCGTCGGCCTCCTAGAAAAGCGCGTTTATCTCGCGCCGCGTGTTTTCCCTAAACTGGATAAGCGCGGCATGAAAGCGGTCGGATTTGCATTTCCGAGTGACTCAAGGCGCGTTTGATCGCACATTGCCAGTCGATGCCAGGGAGAGCGTTAAAAGAATCATCGTAAAGAAAAAAAAAAAAAAAATAATTAAAAGAAATAAAGGAGACATTTATGAAAAATGGGAGGTAAGCGATGCACCGAATATCCGGACGAGAGTTAAGTCGGTCCATCTTTATTGCTCGATGTTTCCGGGTTAGATTCATCGTCGATCTAAAGAAACTTTCGATTTCACTCCCCACATTTGGTATTTCCTCGGTAATACCAGGAATTTTATTGCCTTTTTTATTTCTACCCAGGATTGGGTTTTACTTCCAGTGAAAAAAATCGGAGAAATGCTGTCAGTGATGGGTCGGGGTCCGTGGGGTCTATTGGGAGGTTTTTTACGTACTGGATGGTGTTGGTGAGTCTTGAACCGGTGTGGGGAAATTTGTGGATCCAGGTAGTGTCTTGTAAGGGGGGCGATCGATACAGGGAGCTATTAGTTTATTCCGGCACAGAGAAAACGCAGATTGGCCGCGTCCGAGGATATCGGGCGTTCCAAGAGGCGACGAATCGCTCGGGAACGGCGCGATAAATCGCGATAAATCGCTATAAATCGATCCAGCCGCGATAGGTCGCGTCCCAGTTCCAGGCCAGGTGGATCCGGCACGCGGGGATATTTTTCGAGTTTTTCTCCTCGGTCGAAGTGGGCACGACAAGAGGGCTTTTTTACCCTCGAGCACCGGAGAAATTGGGCCGCGGCAATTTTCGAGGGGAAACGCGAGGCCGGGGGAGTAATTAATTCACCAGGGTGTATGAATTAGCGCACTCGACCGGTCGGTCGACCGCGAAAATGTTCGAGCGCGATTGCGAGTAATTGCCGGCTTCGAATTTTCCATTACGACTCGAGGACATCCGCCTCGCGTGTTTCGATCGCCTTGTCGAGGTCTTCGGGATGTCTTGAACGGTGATTGCAAATCACGAACCGACGAAAGGGCATCCGGTGGGCTGGACGATCCTTCCGGTAGACGTTCACTTTGTCCCGTAATGCCTGTTCTTTGCTTCCCCACGAGGAGTATAATAGGTGTAGCCTCCTTCCAAGGCCTCGTCGGTAGCGGGAAAAATTAGGACGAAAAATCAGGAACTTTTCTACATACCTTTGCCGACGCACACGCACCTCTGGTCAGCTGTAACGAAACGCCGCGAGTGCCCAAGGCTATGGTAAAATGAATCTCGTTCGGTTTTTCTCCATCGCATTATTTTTTTTTTATTTAATACACCCCGTACTCTCGATTATCCACGACGGTCTCTCGGCTCAAAATACGTTCGACTTTCCTCTGGCGTAACTTTGTTACAGAACCACTTACCTCTATATGTAGAGCCGGTGTTGCAGCCTTTTTCGTTGCAACGACCGAGGTATCCGCAATTGAAGAGCCTTTTTCAGCGCTCGCTCCATTCCGGCCAATCTGCATCCTGCGCGATTTCGACATCGAACTAGCGAAAGCGTTTACCAGGAATAACGTGTCGACCTCTCATTGCGGCAAGGAGCCGGAGGGGGGTAAAAATGATACTATATTTTCCATTTCCATGATTCTCCGCAGTCGATGCTCGGACCTCTTCTGGACCAACCTCCTGATCCGGAGCCTTCATCTTTTCTGATCGTCGGTCAACTCGGCGGAGAGATAAATCCCGGATGGATGCATTTTCATGAGGCGATTCCTGATTTACTGGCCGGACTCGGCCGAGCCATTTCCACTCCCGCGAGATTTTTCCCACATTTTCTTCCTCCGAGGTGGTCCAGCTCGAGAGGACCCCCGAGAGCGAGGAAAATTTTCGAGAGCGGAAGTCGGGACGGTGGATTTCGAGGAAAAATCTCGGACGGCCAGTTCTAGGTCAGGATTTATGGTTCGCCATGGCTCCGCAGAAGAGAGCATCGCTTCGAGCGTGAAAGGAACTCTCTGTCGGGTCTTCAGGAGTGGTCAGAGTCTCGTGTCGCCTGCTTGTGAAATCATAATTGATCACTGCCGTGCGCTCACCGCCCAAGTGGTAGGACAAGGCTCCTGTCAACTTGCAACTTAACTTTAATTACTCTCGCGAGGTTGAAGAGTATAAACCGTGATACCCGCTGTCGAGACCCGGGGAGCCTTAATCAGGGACGCTCATATGGTCCTGGCGAATGCTCGATTTATTATCCTTTGACTCCTGTCCGCGAGGAGTCATCAGTCACCTCGGGATTTTTTCCACCGAAATTCTACGCCCAAATCAAGGATCACTGATATGCCCAAATTGCATCTGACAGTATTTTACAATTACCCTAGGTCTAGTGAAAAAAATCTCCATTTATCGCGGACATAGGCTGCCTTTTTCCCCCTTATTCGATGCCACGTGCGCGCCGGATCGAAACGGCGCGGTAATTGCGCTGCAATTGCACCCGCGGGCGCAGAATTCGCAGCTAATGTAGTTATTTAACCGCGGTAAACAGTGGCCGGTGTAACGCGATATCGCTTACGGTCGTAAACTGTCAGTGCCATTGGCTCCTCTCTCGTTAGCTATTCCCTTGTTCGCAGTGCTCACTTTTTGCAGCTGTGGTCTTGCCGGGCCCCACTTGCTAGGATCTGTTCGACGCAATTAATTCACCGCAATTAATGCTCCACGTTTGCCCGAGCACATAGTACAAGTCGGATAGAAAATCGTAATTCGATCCGCACCTAGCGTCAGTTTCGACAGGAGCAACCGTTTAGCTTGCGTACATTCGATATTATCTCTCGTGTCCATATTCGTCGAAATTCATCTTTAAAAGATTTCTCAGACATAATTGATAGCCCGCGCACCTTGTCTTGCTTAAACTTCCTATCTCGGTGCCATGAAATAATTTCGATAAAGATGTAATGCCCTCAAAAAATTAAATTTGAATTTATCAGCAGTGGATGTTACATTCTAATGCCTTTCACCGTTCTCTGGTTTCGTTGGTAATTAATCGAGAGGAGAAACGAAACGGATGGGGCAGGGAAATTTTTTCCAACGTTATCCAGATTTGTTATCGAGTAATTTCTCACGTCGATCTCGCCGTTAAACGGCGGTCGTGGATAAAGCTGGCTATCGTACAGCATACGCCGTTGCGTCCATTGTTATCCCTCGAAATAGATCCATTACGTGTCTTCCTAATGACAGCCTCGGTGGGACCGAGTCCGTCGACAATCGTTGCGGATCACCGCCGCGTTTAAGGGCAGTATCCTCTTGTATGCGTTGCATAATAATTCCTTCTAACAATGGAAATGCATAGACCGAGAGGCACAGCCCGGAGCTTTCTACCGATCGCTCATCGATCTTTCGTCGATGGCGAGAGCTTGGCCTCTCGAAGTTCTCGAGAGAGTCACACGAGCGCTCGCGGGGAAGGATCGATAGATCCATATCGATGGATCCACGATCGATCTTTAGCTCGAGATCGGGCTTAGATTGCATCGAGGGGATCCCTGGAAGCTCGAGATCAATGGCGATCTAGGCTTACACCTTCAAATCACGAATCTATAAAATATAAAACTTGAAGAAATCCATCACAAAATGATCGCTACTGAATTTTTTTTTTTTTTAATAATCCTTAGAATCAGTTATGATCTACTGAGTGAATCATTTTCTTTAAGAATTGCGGAGAAAGAAAGAGAGAAAAAGAGTGTCGCACGCAGGTGCGTCCACGAAGGTAACGAGGCCACCACGTGGAACCCTAGACCACGTGGCTGGAAGATCGACGGGCTCTTCGGAGGAAGCCTTGAGACGGTTCGATCGGCTCGTCGATTTTTCACCTCTCTCGTTTTTCTCCCTTTTCTCGTATACTCGTGGCGTATCAAGGACTCGAGTTCCCGCAGGTCCGTCCTGCCAACCTCGTAACCGCTTCATTATGCGCCACTTCATAAATACGGTGCTACCCTGCCTACGCATATACGTACGCGAGAGGGAGAAAGAAAACGGGACCTACAAGAAAAGACATCGAAAGAGGAGGAGCGAATTGCCAGATAGCTCGAACCGATAATTTGACGATTCATTGTCTATACTTTCATTTCGGGAGAGGGCTCAATTTATTGCAACATTCTTTTTCAGTCCCTTTTGGTCATGACTGCTCGACATAATCGTGTCGCAATGTCCGAATGACGCGTTAGATCAACGGAGCAGGAGGAGAGTCAGGATTGAAACGAAAAGTCCGTCCAGTTCGATCGACTCTAAACGATATTACGTTTTGAAAGACCTCTATCTTTCGGCTGCGAACGCCTACGGATCGAGTGGCGCCTTCTAAAAAAGGCGACGCCGAACTCGAAGGCCGTCTACCACAATGGAGTTTGAAATACGGAAATCTCGTTGCGAGTCGCGTTGCGCCACGGAGAATTTCACGTGCGTGTCTAGTTTGTAAACGTGGGAAATGTAACAAATAATTAGAGATCAGGGGTTAGGAAGAATCGCCGTTTCCCGTGGGCGGTGACTTTTGTCGTTTCACGGCGCCTCGGGAAGTCGCGTCAACTCTTGTTCGAACTTTTTCCCGGCTATCATCGAAGTCATGTTGGGTGATAAGGTTAAGTGGACCACCCTATAGAAATCACTCGGAAGTAAGAGTACCTCTATTTGCGCGGGTCCGAGACTCGAAAGTATTTTCAAAGCCGGCCAGGTTGAAACGGTTTCTTTACACCGTGGCCACGGTTACCTCCGCTCTAGTTAACGTTGTCGACACGGCCGAGGAGGCCGATCGATCGCGATCGTCGATACTAATAGCGTTCTCTTCCCGCACGCAGGAGGAGATCGGCGAGATCATCCAATCGGTGCCGGTGGAGCCGACGAGGATCTGCGCTCCGGGCAAGCCGGTAGATCGGATCGACGCCAGGATCGACGCCAGGATCGACGCCAGGGACCGATCCTACCACGCGAGGTCGCTGCCGAGCAAGTCGAGTCCTCGCCGGAAGGGCCAGAACTTGTCCAGGACCCTAGACAGCTTGGTGGTGGACAAGGACCTGGGCGAGTGGTCGGACGGCATCCTGAAGGAGTTCAACGCGATCATCGCGCGCGAGATCACCGAGCTGAGCAGGAATCCACAGGTGCGAGCACCAAGAGGCAAGACCTACCTCAACGGGGTCGATCCTAATCAGGATCGCATCATAGGCTACCGCGAGTTGCTCAGCGAGTTCGGCATAGCCGATAGCGAGGAGAGCGCCGAAGACGACCCCAGGTTAGAGGGTCTCGATGGCGGGGAACTACACCTCGGAGTGTCCCTAGATAGAGCGCAGAGGGAGCAGTCTTGCCGAAATCGCGGGGGTCCCTGCAGCAGCTTCGAGGACCACAGGAAGAAGAGGCACCGCCGCGAAGGTCGCGCCTGCGATGCGCAGGTGGACCGGTCAGGAACCGGTGGTCAGGTGGTGGACGGTCCTAGTCCACCTTCCGACCTGGAGCGCGCCAGGAGGAGGCACGCTGCTCATCCGAAGCGCGTCCGTCAAGAGCCAAAGAGTGTTCCAGGAGGGGACAAGGGTGCGCAGGTTGAAGCTGGCGACAAATTGGCTTGTCAGGAGCAAAGCGCTGCCAGACTGCCGCCCCTGCGCCTGGACTTACACAGGAAGACCAGCTTACCCGTCGACCTGGCGGCTACCAGGAGGCGCAGGGCCTGCCAGGGAGCTCAGTGGCCTCCACCCTCCCAGAGAGACCAAGGCTTTCGACGGGGGAACTCCGAGCTGGATGAAGTCAACGATCCGGAGATGATCATCAGGTCGAAGTCTCTGGAGTGTTACGTGGCCAGGTCGGCACCTGTGACGCCCACGGAGGAGAACAGGACGCCCTTCTCCAGGATCCTGGCTAGGAAGAGGAGGAACCCAGTCTTCATTGAGAACACTGGCCATGCCGTCCTGGTCAGGGTGTCATCTCTACCCGATCAGGACCTCCTTCACCTGTCGAACGAGAGACTTGCCGAGAAGAAGAGGCCCCAGGTCAAGGGGAGTCTCGACAAGAGGGCGGTTTCTCCCCTGACCGTCAGGTGCGACGCCACCGCGAAGAGGCTCTCGGAGTCGGACAGGGACGTCCGGCATATCAGTCCGGTTAACTTGAAGAAGTATGCGTTGCTCGCCAAAAGCAGGGGCAACGACGTCGGGGTCAACTGCCACCTCAAGGATGCGGCAAGGAACGAGTCCGATGACAGTGGCGGCAGTGGTAGATCCAACAAACTGGAGAACGCCGAAGGCTCTGCCAAGATCTCCGATGATGCCAGCTCTAGATCCGGATCGGTAAGACGTTGTTCGCGAAGGATTTATTTTGAGAAAGATCGCGCTGGGTTGTAGGAAAAGAATTACCAGAAGTATCTCTTCCAGTTGCCGATCTCGCTGCAGTCGCTATTATCCCGATTAAGGAGTGGTTCTGGATCTTGCTGCCCAAACAGTCCACCGATGGAGTCGCTTGCCTGCGCGGACATTGCAACTCAGACCTCACCTGCGATTTCTCGAAGCTCTAGTTTCACCTGGGTCAGCGACTGCGATTCGCCACGAGGTAATTATTTTTAATAAGTTGCACCCACCTTGGACTAAAAGGAACCGAAAGGACCTAAAAAGCACTAAAAGGGATTAAAGGGGACTGAAGAGAAATTGGCCAGGTTTCGTTATCACAGAAAAATTGAGGTCTCGAGTTAATTGTTTTATCCAACACCCGAGAAGACGTCCTTAACAAAGACTTTAGACCCTATCTTCGGACGGGAGGATCTCTAATGGCGCTCGCTAAACTTTACAGCGGATCTAAACCTGGACTCGCAATCTCTCCAGGATGAGAGTACTTTGGATCCAGGCTCCCCGCAGGATACGGTGGACGACGATAACAGATCGTCCTCGTCCTCGCAGGACCTTTTACAGAGCATGGACGAAATCTCGTCGGGCAGCTTGTCGCCCGATACGACCGATAGGACGTCGCCTCTGGAAAGCGGAATCGGCACGGCTAGTCCTCCAAGAAGTACCGATCGGCGTTCAGCAAAACGTGAGATTCTTATTTGAAATTCATTGCTTTTTTACCTGATTCTATGGAGAGGAAAATTAAGACCTGTAGAAACTTAAATTGTATATAATGAATCTTGTTCAGCCTAGGGTGCAGATATTTTTTATCGATGTTTCAAGTAAGGAGTAAAATGTCGATTGCAGCGACAACGTCCAACAAGTGCAACCGCAAGGAAACTTGGGAAAGGATCCGGCGACGTCCTTCGAAACTATGCTCGCGGTCGGAGAAAAATTCCCAAGACGTTTGGGTCAGACGTGAAAGTGTCCATACGCAGACCAATGATAACGATGAGCAATATTTCCGGGATGCCGTTGATAGCAGCAGCGAGTTGGATGACTCCTTGCCAAGGACCAAAGCCTGCAGGCCAACGAATCTCCCTCTAGGTTTGTGTTCCATCGTACGCATAAATTATCAATCCATAGAAATTATTCCCGTGCTAACTTCTCTTTGGTTCCTTTCAGGACTGTCCACGGCAGTCAGTAGTTCCCTGAGTTCTGGCGAGCTGCTCGAAACTCCACCACGAGCACCCTCGTCTCCATCGGCTGCAAGTCTCCAGCTGAAGACGGAACACTTGTCGACGGAGTTGGCAGGCAAAAGTAGCAGCGCCCCCCTTCTGGAGAACAACGACACCCAGAAGAGCAGCATAGAGCAGCCGGTGAGTACCCTGTAATCAACCTTTAATATCAGACCTTCCGAAATCCAGTCTGCGACATAACCTTGCGATACACCTGCCGCTTATGCAACAAAGTCCATACGTCATTAGATTCGAGCCCACCATCCCAGGATGACATCTCCCTGTCGAATCTCCAAGTGTTCAAGACGTGCATTAATCACGTGGTACCCAGGGTTTGGCATCGAGATTACCTTAGACAGATAATCCACGAGTACGTCCATTTGTCCCTCGCCGGTCGTCGCTGTTGATACAATCAGGCCTTGAAGAGGCAGAGAATCAGGAAGGCAAGAGACTTCGGGATGTCCATTTGTCAATACATCGAGGGTACCTGAACTTTTGCCAGGTTAGAGTCGGCATTCGATCTCGTATCGGTTCCCACGGTTCATCGGCGTCCGCATCACCAAGGAGCGGACATCGGAGGGACCAAGCCAGGATCGGTGGCTCTTTCAGCGGTCAATCCCATCCGAATCTTATTGTTAAGGCGGCCATTAATCACATTGGCAGACGGCGTTTGGTATCGAGATTACTCTATGCACATACTCCCGCGAGTACGGCCATTCGTCCTTGGATGGCCGCGTACTCGAGGGGACGAAGAATCGGAGTGCAAGGAGAGGATGTCCATTTGTCTCTGCCCACGTGAGGCGTGTACCGCATGGCCTTTGCAAATGCAGGTATTTGTATTTCACTCCGGTGGATCCTCGACGACGTCCCGACCATTCGGAAGTTTGATTTCGGTTCTCCATTTCGCGGTTCCTAATATAAAAGTTAAAGGGAAAGGTCCCATCGCCCAGGTCGGTCAAGAGCCCTTGTTCCGGGGAACGGTCTCGTCACCTGCGTCCATCCTTTTCGGGATCATCTCGCAGACCAGTTTGCCTTCGAAAGGTTAACACGTGCCTGTCGACAGCAACGTCCTTTGCAAGTACACGGGAAACGTGAGATATTCTCGTTTGCCGATAATATTACATGTAAAAAGCGCGAACCCCTGCTAAGCTGCACGTCGTATCCCTTGACATTAAGTAATACCCCGCTCTAACGCGCCACCTGGAACGGTGCAGAATCGATGCGGATTTTCGCCTATTTGTCAGGAAAACATATCTCAATGTCGAGGCAACGCTTGTTCCTAATAAAAGACACCTTTCTTTCCTTTTTCTTGAAGCACCCCAGGCCACTCGGTGCACTTCTTCCGCGAGACTCTTGGTACCGCTCGATCGTTTCGCGCCATCGACGGTCCAGCTCTCCACCTCGATATTCCTCTTGACCACGTCGTTAAAGGCCCGGATTTATTTTCCGTGGCTCGAAACGCGGCTCGTTTTTCACCGAGTGTGTGCCGCCCGAATTCTATAAACATTTTCAAGGCCGGCTTTGAAGCCGGTCGCGCCCTTCACGCGGGGAAACATTCTGTTTGTTTGAACTCCCGGATTCGGAAGTGGCACCTTTCGTTCCCGTTTATTCGATACTTCTAATCCTCTTCTATTTTTAAATAAATCGACTTTCCTTCCAGCAGCAGCCAAGGAAACGCTAGAATGGTTACAATTTCGCTAGGCCAACCATTTCTGCTAGAAGAGTAATCCTGGACCATTCGCTAGCTGCTCTGCGGCGCCTTTAATGGTCAAGATTCGTTCAGGTGGAGTTTCGGTTTATCTCGGTTTATTCCATTTTTGGATTCGAGGAGTTCCACCGAATCCAGCCCAGGGGTGAATTTTTGAGCTCTCTACTCTGTGGAAAATTATCAATGGCGTGCTGGAGCACATACGGTGAGTTCAGTCCGGCATGCATGGTCGACTCCTCGGGGCCGTTCGCGAACGTATCGCCAAGCTCGTACACGTAGGAACGGCCGCAAGCGATCAAAGCTACCGGACCGGCGAACCGTTCATCGGATTAATCGGTTGGCATCACCCTGCGGACCTCGAATAGCAACCCCGAGCCTAGCTTAAGCTCCATCTTTAAGCATCGGAACCACCCGAGCCTTAAAGCGTCATTTTACTTCCCCTTCGGGGAAACTTCCTAGACAGAAATTATTCCGAAGGTACTTTCAAGTACCTCCTGAAGCAGAGGTACTTTCAAGTACCTCCGATGCAAGAGGTTGCGTCTAGAATTAGAAAAATGTTCAAAGGTGTTGGTTGGTTTTTCTTTAACGCGGAAAATGTTGGAAAGTAGTGGGCGGATGTTTCATCGAGTCAGGATGGGTTTGGAAAATCCAGGAGGTGGGTAGGAATTAATTTTGATGCCGAGAGCTTTTCCCGAGGTCGAACTCGTAGGGCAGGGCGTTGGCGTCTTCAGTTTCCTGCGAAATTGGATTTTGAAACGACCTACGAAGGGTTATGCCGGCAGAGACGCCTCTTCCACTCGGAGAGTCTTCCCCAGGTCAGGTGGAGGCTTTGGATGCTAAATTCGGATCGACTGATGTGATTCTAATAAGCCGGTCGTGCCTTTCGCTTTGACAACTCGGAGGGTATTCCCACGTCGACTGTCTGCACTGCAAGTGGAGCGTCATGAAAGCACCCGGTGGGAATAATCCAATATAGCGTTACACCGATGTCGGTACTCCGGGGCCGATTCAAACAGGCCATCGTACACCGAGCCCGCTTCAAACACTCTCCAAAAATTCAATATCCTTCCTTCCATTTTTTTTTTTTTTCCTCAACGCCGATACACTTTTGGCACTCCGCCACCCTCGTTGGGTGTTTTATTCCGGATTTTGTTTGCGCTCCTAAAATTTTATTCCTGATTTTCAGATATCGCAGCAGCCGAGGTCGCAGTCCGAACGACAGCTGTCAGGTGAGCCTTGGAAAAATTGCGAAAATCGACGAAGGTTTTCTACATTTTTTTTTTGTTTTCCGCTCGTTCTTTGGTGCGTTTCCCCTGCATTTTCCCTGCAATTACGGAGCTTTCCTCGAGTAATTTCGGGCCCGTGCTCCGAGGGAACTAAAGGGCACCGTAAAGGCGAGCTCCATGGAGGTGCGTCTATACACGTAAACGTGTACGCACCTACCGACATAGGTACAAGTATTGACCCTGCCCTCGGCGGTGAACTCGATGCGCGGAATTGAATCCGCGCGCGGAATCCCCCGACCGCGTTGCGGCCCGTCAATAATTAATTTAACTTTCACGGCCGCTTCAGCTACATGCCGCTACAGCTTGCAGGACGCCGTCTCTTGTCCCGTGAATCCGCGGGATTCCGCATCCGCGCGTCCTCCGGCATCCGTAATCCGCACCTACACATTCGAAAACCATGCTCGAGTCAAGGGCAGCCCTAACAAAATCCGCGGAAAGGGTAATAAAGAAAGGGGAAAAATAAAAGGGTACCCCGCCTCTCGTGCAATTCCCGGCGGAAGAAACGCGACCTTTCGAAATTCCGCCCCGGGGGGAAATTCTTCCCGCCGCGATTTTCATACTTTCATCAAGAGGATATTAAAACCTGTCAGTTTGAAATCCCTCGAGCCGTAATAAGCGATCCGATACCGACGTCATTATCCGCCGGAAACGCGGAATCTCGGGGAGTAGAAGGGTCACGCGAGAGCCACGCGGAGCGTTCGCGAGGGACCCCACGTGGGTAATTACGGGGTAAAAAGTGAGGTTTATTAATTCCGCAAAAGGTTGCGGGAGTACGGACCCTCGTTTGCGCCCGAGCAAAGGTTGCGTCGTATTTATAATCCGAGTTCGGAGGTGCGTGGGCGATTCCCAGGCGCGGATTTAAAAGCCGCTGAGAGCTGCTCTCGACGGGTCCGCAGATCGTTCGATTCACTCGCGACAAGCTCATTATGCATTTCGCGAACCGATTATCGGCCGGCCCGCAGGAATGCCCGCGGTTCCGCGCGGAATTTTCCGCTCGCTTTTTTCCATCTCACCCCCTCCGGACGTTTCGGTCCTGTAATGGCTTTGGAAAATAACCAACCCCCCGATTCGCCGGTGGAAACCTTTTCTCCTTCCCGCGGCGCGCGCCTCTTGTTGCGGCAAATTAATTTCTCCTCGTAACTGCGTCGGTGTGCACGGCTAACTGCATTTCTGCTCCGGGGAAATTTCGCCCTTGCTCCCGGGAAGAGCCCCTAGCACGGCACTTTGCCGCAGGTGCGCCATTTTTTATACGTAAAAGCGTTTCCTCCCCGGCCCGACCGAATCGAAGGCCATTGGATTCATTTGATGCAGTTGCAACCAATTTATGTCCCCTGAAATTCGGTGGTGGACGCTCAAACTTCATGCCTCGGATGCACGTTTATTTGGGATTTTGGACGTTCCTGTCATTCCCCGGGGAGGTTCCTCTATGTACCAGACGTGTTATCGAAAGATATCCGTGATGTCGATGCTCCTTTTTCATGAGAAACTTTTTATCGTGAACTTTTTAAATCGACTTTTCCCGAGCTCGTCCCGCGGTGGGGCGCATATCTGCGGTTTTATTTCGAGAATCGCGACAATTTTTAGATTCGGATTCTCATCCTTGACCTGGAAGAACGCGACACGTCGGGCCGGAAGAATCGGAAAGCGTGGGCTTGCCTCTCCTCCGATTCCAAAGTGGTCCGGGAACGATCGCGAACGTAATCGGGAATATCGTAAATCGCTCCGCTCGCGATTATTCGAACTCGCTGACGCAGTTCTTCTCGGCCCTGGGGACAGTTGGCTTCGGGAAAGCATCGGCTGCGTACACGTATTTTATTAATAACTGCACTCGACTCGTTTTCGACTCTCCGAGGATGTTTCCGAGCGAGATTGCCTTTCGCCGAGTCACCATCGCGGAAACCGCGAGGCTCGATCCTTGATTCCAGGATCAATTTTAACGTCAGTGTTTAACAGTCAATTTTAACGTCAAAACATCCCCTGGAAACTTCTGCGACTTGAGATTCCGAAAATTTCCCCCGGATCGTCCTGTCCGATTTTCCTTCAAAAATTGGCACATTCGCGGAAACGCTCGCTGAATCGTTCTCCGGGGTGGATTTTCAATTTTTTCCTGTGCTTAATTTGTTTTTTATTTTTTATTTATTTGTTTCTCCCCTTCGTAGAGAATGCTGCATCCCGTATAACGAATAGCTCTCGCGAGAATGGACGACGAGTGGGGAAACAATGGCACGAGTCGACGTTAACGCGCGACATCGCGAGAGTAATCTCCACCGAGGAAACTGGAGCGGCACGCCGTTCTGGAGCCGGGGATTCCTATCGGAGCGGTTACGGGCGAACGTATCGATAATCGATCGGTCTTTGATGGATTCTTGAATTCCGTTGTCCTTTGTCTCGCGCGCGCTCGCTAAAACGTAGCTTTTCTCGCTTCCCTCACTTTTCCGATATTCCCCAGTTCGAGAGCCTTTCATTCGCCGGCATTTTGCGTGGATCTCGAAACTAACTTTTGAAAACCTCAACGCGGGATGAATATCCAAAGATAGGCACGAAAAAAGTCGGGCTCGAAAATTTTTGGAAAAAATCCAGGAGGTGGATAAATCCCTCCGAGATTTTTCAACGAGCCAATAGGCGCCTCTTGCAACAAATGTACATCTGATTTATTCATCGACAAACGCTTTCGCGATCCCTCTACGGTGTAGCCGGTAATACGAAGCATCTGCCAATTTGTTAGTCACTGTGCATACACGGACCTCGACTCGTTTTCGGCGCATTATTCACGAGGCAGGGTTTACCGTCGAATCGATCCGCGGCAAACGGCGTATAAAAATAACCCCCGAAAAAAAGCTTCCGTTCGCCATTCGCGAAATTTCGGGTATTTCGGGGCTGAATCGCCGCACCGACACCTGACACGAGCCACGCGTAGAGGCCTACTCTCTCCTGGCGCCCTCTATTTTTGGGGGTTTTTGACACTTTCTCGGTTTATGCGATTTTCCCCGTTTTTTCCGATACTCGGGGAGGAAGTGCATTCGGAGGAGGAAGTGCATTTTCGCGGATGCACCCGAGTGCAACGCCTGGCGGGTGGGTAGTCTCGAAGAAGTGGCGGGCGAAGGGCGGCGCCTGCGTCGCGGCGTTCCGCGCCGGATCCGCGGCGGATCCGCGCCTGCCCCGGGTCCGCTCCGCAGAGCCGGCCGCGTCTGCGGCCGCAGCCGCAGCCGCAGCCGTCGTCGCTATCACGGCCAGCGCTGGCGTCAGCAGGCGTCAGGCCGCAGTTTACAAGCGGCGGCCACGCGACTCGCGCGACTCGCGAGGGAGTCTGCTGACGGTTCGTCGGTGACGGCTGACTGGACCGCCTCGGACTGCTTAGGACTACTTCGGACTACTTTGGACCGCTTCGGACCTCCTCGCACCTCCTCGCACCAGTTCGAAATCGGGACTCGCGCGGGAACTTCTCGATACCCTCGAGTCTCCACGCCGTGCCGGACGGATAGTGGAGGGACTTCAAGTGGTTTGTACCCGTTCCGGACGAGTTCCTAACCGTTCGCTAAAGTTTGTGATTTCTTCCGCAAACTGGGGCCGAGTGTCTCTTCGCGGAGATTTTCTCGTTTTAGAGGATGGCGCAGTCAGGAGGAGGAAGGGTAATAGGGTTCTGGGCCTTCGGGGTAGTCTTCAGGGTTCTCTTCGAGGTGCTTTTCAAGGTGTTCTTCGTTGTTGTTTTCAAGGTGTTCTTCGTTGTGGTTTTCGGGGTTTCCTCCTCGTTGTTCCTTGGGTCGTAGTCCTGCGGCTAACAAGGATTTTTTTTATTTTCTTTGGCCATTCCTCCGAGGTGTAGATTAAGATTTGAGGGGACTTCTTCGTCATCGACGTCAACAGCTGACGTCGTCCTTGCGATAGCAGCTTCGGTGACTCGGTCAACGTCAGGCAAGACGATTAAAGAGCCATCAGGGAAACTTTAGAAAATTTATGGAACTGTGGAAAGAGCGGTAGGACGCTTCGTTGACGGCGTCTGTCGGTACGGGACGGATTTGTCAAGTCATGAACCAGAGATCAAACGCGGCTGGCTGGGATAGATAAACGGGAGTTTGTTTGCACCCGGTGTATCCACGTGCCTCTTCGCATAGCAAACTTCGGGAACGACCCGCGGCTCGGGAAACGGAGGTTCCGTCACGTTTCTACCGTATCTTCCTCAACTGACAAATGAAAATACGTTCTCGCCGCTTCCACGCGCGCATCGCCCGACTTTGAAAAACGTGTCGACGAGGTTCCAGGGGTCTCACCTACTTGTCAGGTGGCAAGAAAATTCCTCGAACTACGCGATCAATTTTTGGCGATCAAGGATCAATCGATTTCCTTCGATTTTATGATCAATCCGCCGACCGCGAAAATCGGTCTGGGGGAAATGGCGGCGTTCTTCGAAGTTCTCGGATATTTCGGGAATGCCAAAAATGGGTCTCGGTGATTTTCCCGTATTTTCGGATTATCGCCATACGACTCTTCCAATTAGTCCCCCTATCGGCGATTTTTTTTAGGCCATATTTCAATTAAGGGCGCCGTTTTGACGCCTGCTCTTCAGGTTCGATTTTGCCCTCGCGGATGGTGCACTTTCCGCGCTCGCACTGTTAATCGACGATTTTTCGCGTTTACGGACGGATAATGGGAGGTGCGTTAATCATCTCGTACTCCTCTCCTAATCAGCGAGGTTTAATGAAACCGGGATTTCGCCTTGGCGATCGCGAGGTGTGCTCGTTAGCGAAACGGCGAGCGCGCCTTCCCTCTCGGGCTCGATCGAGCGGAATCTCGCTGCCAAACTAATTAACGGATCTGCCAGGCGAAATGGCGAAAGATGCGTAGGACGTCGCAACTTTCAGGCGAGATTTTAATCTGTTTTCACGCCGTCCAACGTAGAAATTGTACCGTGGAAAAGAAATAGGAGAAATCTTGGGAAGCCCAAA